GGTACCAACCCCTGGTTATATTTCCTTTCGATAATACAGGGTACCAACCCCTGGTTACATTCCCTTTTTCGTAATACACGGTACCACCCTCTAATTCCATTTCCTCTGGTAACATAAGTTACTTCCCCTCGTGGTTGCATATCCTCATATATTAGTTTATACTACTCCCGTTGTCTTCATTTCAACAAATTAGATACTTTAGCTTTCTCTAACTCACAAAATTTTCCTAGTGCCAAACTGGGGCAGAAAAATTGTGTTCGTTTTGTTCGTCTTTGATGGCTTTGCAGGCCCTGCCGCATAGCACAAGTGACGATTAAATCTTGCAGTTTCAGCTTTCTCATTAGAATAAAGAAGTTTTTCGGTCACAAGATAGTTGGAGTTAGCTTGGATAATGTGTCAGCAGCCTAGCTTCTCGAGTTTCATTTTCTCGAACTCTGATACGGAAAGCAAGCAATTGAGAATGAGCCATAATCCTTTCCTCAAAGAGAATCAAGATCCAATCTAAGGTCAACACAAGCGAGCAGGTCAAGAATCAAGATTTAACTCCACAAGACACATAGATTAGGAATTTTGTAACTCTTAGTTTCGAGACATGTAGTTCTTTCTCTTTTTCTTTTGATGCAAGCAGCAAGTAATAGTAACAGCAACAACAACAGCAACAACAGTCTTAAATCTAGTTTCTGGTAGTCCCAGCTACCAAATTTTCCCAGAACTACACTGACCTGATTCCTCTAAACAAGGATATGTAGGCTACCTCGGAAGCAGGGTTCAGTCACAATTTTTTTTTTAAAAAAAATGCTTTCATTGGAGTGATATGTGAGCCAAAATTAGCCATGGCATTCACTTTTTTTGCACGAAAACTCTTCATGTTCTCGAGCAAAGAAAGGCAGTTGTGAATACCTAATTTTTGTACTGTTTTAATACCTCCTAAAGTTATTAGTGTTTTGTTGCTTTAATTATATTTCCCAATTTTTGTGTCTTTGATTGCATATTTCCTATCATAAAAATACCAAAAAATAGTTCTTTCTTTATTTGTGCATTTTAGGAATTAACTAACTATTCAATTGATGAATTAATATAGTTAATTGATCATTTGAATAAGTTACTTAATTAATTTATTTGTTTGTGTAAATTTAGGTTAATAAGTAGGATTAAGAAATAAATTGGGCCAAATTTGAAAGAGAAAGTGGCCAAAAGTGCAAGATAAGGGGGTGCCCTTGAAAGGGACCGAAACGACGTAGTTTTGCCTCAAAACTACGTCGTTTCATTAAGTGACCCAAGATCAAATCTCACCCATTGATCACCCTTTGGTCTAATGGTCCATATTTGATCTCTCAAGAGGTATTTAAAGCCTCAAAAATCTAAAAAATTCCCTCATTTCCCCCATAACTCTTTCTCTCTTCTCTCTCTCTCTTCTCTCTCTTCTCTCCGTCGCCGCCGCCGGAAATCACCCACCGACGGCGGCCAACCTCCAAACACCCCCAAATTCACACCATGTAATCTCTACAACCTCCTATTTCCATATCTCTAAACCAAATCCTTCAAAACCCCCCTCAAACGCCTTGAATTGTAGATCTAGGAAACTTTAGCCGCTACTTTTTTGCCCAAAACCTTGAAGTTCCGGCCACTACCACCCCACAATACCTACATCAACGGATAGAGCTTATCAAGACCTACCTATTGATGTCAATTCCATCCCGAAAATCTAGCAACTAAAAATCCGGCCAAATTACGGCGACCACCCCGAACACCCTCGTTTGGTATACCCCTATTCTCATTTCCTTTGTCTATTTTTTCTAATTGTATTGTATTTAGTTTATGTCTAGCATAATTTCTTATTTTTTTATTTTTTTATTTTTATTATTATTATTAGTTATGTTTAATCTATGTTAGCTTAGTCGTTCATAGTTATTAATCACTGATAATTAGTTATTCATTAGTTTTGAAATAGCTATTTGCTTAGTCATGATAGTTTATGATAGAAGTTTCAAGTGCTTAGTGAATTTGTTTTTATTGGATTTGAGTATTTGAATTTTTGTGTTGATAAAAGCTGAAATTAAAGAAGGAATAGTACAAGTTTGGTTGTTTTTACTGTGCAAAGACTTTGGAGTGCAAAACTCAAAAGTCATTGTGTGGTGACAAGTACAATACTTTTTGACAGCTTTTGAACAGTGTTTAGCACACAAAGTCAGTCTTTTGGACAGACTTTTGGTGAACCAAAATCTGTCCAAAAAATCTGATTTATTTGCCTATTTAAAGGGCTCTTTACTCACTGAAAAGGGAGGGACACTCTATTACAAACTCTATCTTATACTGAGACACATCTTGGAGAGTTGCTTAAAGACATATATCTTTGAGAAAAATCAGCAGCTTAATACATATAACAAGCTGAAATTTCAGAGTTTTGTGAGGATTATTTGAGTGCAAAAACCTCGAGAAAAATAGAAAGATCCCTTAGGCAATTTGTGAAGTTGATAGCTACCAGTTTCAAGCATCTTTGTTGAGTTTTCTGGGTTGTCTTAACACTTGAGTTGATGTTATTTCTACTGTATTTGCTGCTGAGTTTTTTTGTTGCTGCACTGCTATATTTTATTATTCTACAAACCAGGTAAATTTTAAATTCTTATATTGCATATTCTTGATGATAATAAGAAGGATTTGATCCCGGTTTGGTTGATGGAACATATTAGATCTGATTTTGTTTCAAGATGAATGTTATATTAGTGTTATCAGCATGTAAATCTGCTAAAAATTAGTTAAATTATCGTTTTCTTCTTTATATATGTGATTGAAATTGCATTCTGTTAAGATTACTTAGTTTAAGGAAAAGATAAAAACCTCACTTTTAACCATGTTTGTTTAGTTTGGGCTCTTTTTCGTGAGTTACTTTCGTGGTTCATGTATAATTATCTAAGAAAGACTTCTAGCTTCAAATGTTTTGATGCTTTGAATTATAGTCAACATAATGTTATACTTAATATAGTTCTTTTCTTTAGCATTGAAGTATTACCGTTTTTTATAGTTTTTATATTTAGTCGTGGTTTTTATGTTGTTAATGGGTGTAGTTTGATTAGTGCCATGATTGGTGTAGATGAGTTGAAATATTATGTTAGTCCTTAAGAAATAGTTGGTTAAGAAGATAAAAGATAATAATTAGCATATAAGTTTTTTTTATGAAAAAAAATAATTTTTAGTTTGGACATCAATGTAAGAAGCAATTTGGGCTTAGAAGAATACTTGTTATTTTGTGTTGTCTTGGTCATCGAGGCTCTTAAGCAACATGGGCCAAGTAAGCTAAAATTTGTAGGCCCAATGACAATAGAAAGTAAGATGGACATTTTCTTTAAAACCAATAAGTTATCTTTTGTTAAATAAAATAAGTGGTCCAATACCATGAAAGTTTAACACAAGCTTACCCGGGTTTAATGTCTTGCATTAGTGAAAATTATTTTTAATAATAATATTTTTTTTCCAGTCAAACAAGTAATAAATAAAAAAGAAGCGCTTTTTAATTAATTTAAGCGATAGGCAATTTTAGGCACATTTGAGATGTAGACCATGTGTTCATACACGGTCTTTGGTCAATATTTTTTTTAATAAAGTAGTCATGTGTGCATTCCCGCTCCTTGACTTTTCAATATTAATTGTATTTAAACCATGTGTACCGACACGTTCTTTGTTTTAATACATATAATCAAATAAGGACTTTGTGTGCTTGCACGCTCCTAGGCCAAAATTATTAATTATTAAGCAGCACTAGACAATAGTAACTTAAGGCAAATAATACACACTTTATCCAAAAATAATTCAAGCCAAATTTTAGTCAATAAAAGCGACCGTGCTAGAACCATGAGATTCGAGGAATGCCTTACACCTTTTTTCCGGTTAACAGAATTCCTTACCCGGATTTTGTTTTCGCAGACCAATAATAATAGAGTCAAATCTTTCTTTGATTAGGGATTCAAATAAAAGGTGACTTGGAACACCAACAAAATCAATTCCAAGTGGCGACTCTGTAAATAAAATAATCCATACTCAATTTTGTCACTTTAATTGGAAAAACTCTTTAATTCACACAATATTATTTTGCGGGTAAAAAAAGGGGTGCGACACTCATGAGATATCTTTATGGGATTACTATGTGCAAGAACCAAGAGTAGGTGATAGTTTCAATGAGGCAATGGCCAGTGACTCGAGATTGATTTCCAATGTTCTTATTACGGAGTGTAAACATGTTTTTGAGGGATTGACGTCGTTGGTGGATGTTGGAGGCGGCACTGGCACTGTGGCAATTGGAAACTTCAAGGGAAGTGGGAATGTGGAGTTTGTCGGAGGAAGTATGAGAAGATTCCTAATGCTAATGCAATCTTACTCAAGGTACAAGTGTAGCAACTTTTGTTACTGTGTGTCTCTTATTTTTAAGCATCACTCTTTTAAATTATATGCATCGTCGTTGTGAAACAATCAGATCATCTAAAGGATATCTACAGGTAAATCAATTATATCGTCAATTTATGTGAAATGTAGCGAAACTCATTTCCAAGATATGTACTTTGATCAATCTCTTGGTAAATTTCCTCGTCCTTAATTACAGGTAGTATAGAACACAACATCATTTCCACGACAATATTGATATGTCAATGTTTCCTGTACTGTTCCTTGTAAAATGTCCTTATTCTATGCTGCCCTGCACAAATTATTGACAACTCATGGTCAACTAATAAATTTCCAATTGAATGCACTTATACTTTTCTTTTTGGGCGTTTATTTCTTCTCATTACAGAAGCCAACACTACAACATTTTGCCTATGTAGCTAAAAAGTACATTGTAGCTAAATATAAAAATTTTAGTAGTTAAAGACTTTAGCCACAATATTTTTTTTTGGAGCAAAATATAGCGTAACTAAAAGTTAGCTACAAATTTTATATAATTTGTGGCTAAGGACTAATACTTATTGCTACAAATATTTTGTGTTGTAGCTATATTGATAATACTTTTTTGCTACGAAATATATACTCATACCAAATAATCTCAATCCTTTGCCACTGCAAATAAACTATATAGCAATCTTTATATTGTGCCACAAGGTGTTTGACTGTGGCAAAAGACTTAATTTGTTTGCCACGAAAATTCAAATCTTGTGGCTATTTTTATATTTTAGTTTAGTGCAAACATGCAGCTAAATGATTTTCAGGAATTATCTTTATTACTTCTTTTTAGAGTTATATCCTATTTGAGCCTCATCCTATTCTGTGATAATTTACAATTAACAATTTCTGACTTTTAAAATCTTATCTACTCGAAAATATTCATGGTTGAGCAGTGAATTCTGCATAACTGGAGCGACGAAGACTGTGTGAAGATACTGAAGAAATGCAAAGAGTCTATTCCGAGTAGGGAAGAAGGAAGGAAGGTGATAATCATAGACAGTGCTCGAAAATCCGAATGTGAGAAATGAGTTTGTTCGAGCACAGCATTATATGGACTTGTTAATGATGGTTTGCTATGCTGCCAAACAGAGAACTAAAATGGAATGGGAGAGGCTCTTCACTGATGCTGGTTTCAATGAATACAAAATAACTCCCACTTTAGGAACAAGGTCTCTTATTGAAATATACCCTTGAAGAAGTCTTGGCTTGAAAAGTGCGTATGTTTATGAATTGTATTGAATCAACTTATTTGGCTTGGCTTTTTTTTGTTTTGTTTGCTCTATTAATGAATAAACTTGCGAGCTTATGGAGTCTATTATATACTATGTGTTTAGCTTGATGTAATTGATATTACTGGAATATATTTATCATTTTTCTTTACTTTGGATTATTTTCTTGACATTGACCTTGCCAATTATCAACTTAATTGGTTCCATTCAATTGAAAACATCGCAAAATTCACTACCATCAGCGCGGTACCTTAATATTTTGAGTAGCATAACTTGAAAATTTTATTTTAATTACCACCTCGTTGTCATTGATTGTTTCCAACATGAATATCCATTTCCCCTTTTGTTGTAGTGCACTGTTGCATTTCTTAATAAAAATTAGAGACTCTCTTGGTCGTTAGATATTTTAGAAGGAAACAAATTCGTGTTCTAAGTCATCCAACCGCATGTTTTCCAACCACTCACATGAATAGCTTAATAAGTAGTTTCAGTTACTTCCTAATCAAACTCATCTAGTCAACATAACCTTGCCATTTAGTCTTTAACAACAATAATAACTTGAGTATATTGAAGTCAAACTCATTACAGTTCAATTCCAGTTTACGTGAACCTATTTCTTTTTTCGTTCGTTCCAAAAAGAATGATCCTTTTCTAAATTTGGAAATAATTTTGCTTAAACTTACAATTTTACCCTTAATGAGAACCATACAAATACTCTGTGCCCATTTTTGACTTGTTTAGGACCACAAATTTCAAAACTCTTCATTTTTTCTTAAACTCTGTGCCCAATCAAACAGATTCACATTAATTGGAACGGAGGGAGTATTATATATGCACTTTAAACCAATCATCCTCACCAATACTTTACTAATTGACTTTGTAAATACACATTGTTTTTCATGTGAGTTGGGATGTGCAGATCAAGGACTATGCGCAATACCGAGTAAAATCGAGACCCCAATCAGTTAAAACTCCCATCAAAGGTCATGTCGCATCAAATGTCTAGTCATGTCAATGTTATGTCATGTCATGTCATGTCATGATGTCTTGTCACATTGAATGTCTTGTCGCATCAGATAGGACGTCGAGTTTGACTGAACTTGATCTGTATTTTGAAGTAAATTTTATTGCTTCCATGTAGTTAATAAAATGTGCTATAAAATTAAAATATAATTATTTAATGAAAAATATGATTGGTATATTTATTAAAAATGTAACTACTACAATTGTGTTGTTGTCATTACTGTTTTATTTTTAAGAGACAATAAAATGATAGAATATCTTAATATTTAAAAATAGGAGAATTAATGCACAAAATGGTAGTATTCAACTAATTGCAATAAAATGATAAAAATTCTTATATTTTGTGAAAATAAGAATAATGATCAATAAATTGCATTAAAGTCAAATAATGTGCAAAAAACTATATTTTTATCTTTTTTTACTAGGAAGCCTACAGAAGTTAATTTTAAAATACGAATGGTCAAAATTGAGTGTCAACAGGTGGCATCCCCGACAAATCTACAGGAAACACCTCTGATAACTCACGCACAACTGATACTGAATCCATGGAAGGAACCTCCGCATTAGGATCACGAATATATGCCAAATATGATAGGCATTCCTTCTCGACCATATGACAAGCCTTCACATAAGAAATAACCATGCTAGTAGAATGGCCAGGAGTCTCTCTCCACTCTAATCGAGGCAACCCCGCCATGGCTAAGGTTACCGTCTTGGCGTGACAGTCCAATATAGCGTGATAAGATGATAACCAATCAATGCCCAAGATAACATCAAAGTCTACCATATCAAGAAGTAGGAGATCTACACTAGTCTTAAGGCTCCCGATAGAAATCACACACGAGCGATAAACACGATCTACAATAATAGAATCTCCCACAGGTGTGGATACATATAAAGGAGCACTCAAAGAATCACGAGGCATAACCATATATGAAGTAAAATAGGACGACACATAGGAATATGTAGAGCCCGAATCAAATTGAACTGAAGCATCTCTATGGAAAACTGAAACAATACCTGTGATGACGGCGTTAGATGACTCTACCTCAGGTTTAGCCGAAAATGCATAAAAATGGCGTTGGGGCCCACCACTCTGACCTCTGCCTCTCGGACGGCCTCTAGCTGGCTGGCCTCCACCTCTAATGGTCTGCCTCCACCTCTAGTAGCTTGCTCCCCGCCTCTAGCTGGCTGAGCGGGCGGTGAAGTAACCGGTGATGAAACCATGGCACGAGAACCCTGATGTGGCATGTCGTCCTGTGACATAGGGCAAAATCTCGAAACGTGCCTCGGATCTCTACAAGTATAACAAGCCCTCGGCTGCTATGACTATTGACCCTGGAACTGGCCCTGTTGACTTGGATACCACCCTAATAACTCTGGATCGGAGGTGCACCAATAGGAGCTGATGGTGCTCTGTAGGCTAGTTGCTCAGGATGAGACCCATAAGAACCACGACTACCCAAAGCATCGTGGGATTCTTGAAGCGCTGACTGAATCGACCTAGGAGGATAGCCTCTACCAAATGAACTTCTACTTCCATATTAGGCACCACTGAAACCATCGAAGTGACGAGGCCTCTTCTTAGATACTGTCCCTATCCTAACCACGAACCATCTCGATCTGTCTAGCAATCTCTACGGCCATCTGGAAATAAATATCATCTCCGATCTCTTTGGCCATCTGTAGCCTAATACTGAAAGTAAGTTCATCAATGAATCTCCTCACTCTATCCCTCAGTAGGGAGTAAGATAACTGCATGGAGAGCTAAGTCTACAAATCGGATCTCATACTGGATAACAGTCATGCTACTCGCCTGAAGGCGCTCAAACTGCCTACGGTACTCCTCTCTCAAAGTGACGGAAGTTAATTTCTCCAGAAATAACTGTGAAAATTGATCGCAAGTGTGCGGCGGTGAACCAGTTGGTCTGCTCCGCACATGATCCTGCCACCATCTCTTTGCCGAACTGGTCATCTGAAACACTGCAAAGTCTACTCTATTGGACTCTACAATACCCATGTTGCTCAGTACCTCGTAGAATCGGTCCAAATAATCCCGTGGGTCCTCAGAAGGTGCACCACTTAAGTGAATATGGAAGAGTTTTGTGAACTTATCCAACCTCATCAATCTCTCAGAAGACATCACGGGCCTCTCCCCGGTCCGTGTAGCAACAACATATTGAACTACCCCAACTGGCTGGACTATTGTAGAGAATATATGGGAGCTATCTACTCCGAAGTGTGAGTAGCGGAAGTCTGTGCTCCTCCCCCAGCCTAAGAGACAGTTGGTGCCACCGAAAATGCATCGGTCTGGGCCACACTCTCCATAAGGTCCACTAAACGGACTAGAGCATCCTGAAGTACGGGAGTGGCAATAAATCCCTCCGGGACCTGAGCGGGTCTGACTGGTGCATTCTAAGCTGGGATCTTCTCCTTATGATCAATCTGAGGCTCCACAGTTGGTGCTGGTGCACAATCTCTAGCATGAGTTCTGCCTCTACCTCGGCCTCTGACTCGACCTCGGTCTCGGCTTCTACCCTTGGTAAAGGTTGCAATAGGGGGCTCCGACTCTTGCACGGCTATAGAAGTTATGTGTGTTCTCACCATCTACGAAATAACAAGAATGGAGTGATTCAAACATCAATGATAGAATAAATCGCACGATAGGGAAAGAAAGAAGTCAAATTTTCCCAAAACCTCGTAGCCTCTAGAAGATAAGTACAGACGTCTCCGTACCGATCCTCCAAACTCTACTAGCTTACTCATGACTTGCGAGACTTAAGAAACCTAGTGCTCTGATACCAACTTGTCACGACCCGGAATCCCAACCTCGGGGTCGTGATGGCGCCTAATGTCCACTTGCTAGGCAAACAAACATTAGTTAAACAATTTAATAATTAAGCAGTTCAAAATAGAATAATAACAATTATTAACGAAGATTAAAGCTGAAATACATGAAATAAACCCATAACATAATGTAGTCTAACTCAACTCTAGAAGTCTGGTGTCACAAGTACATGAGAAACTAGAAGTCTACAAGTATAGTTTGAAATAAATACAACTGTCTGAATGAGATAAACAGTAAAGGTAGGAAATGGAAGAGCACTTCAAGGTCTGCGAAAGCCAGTAGATATACCTCAAGTCTCTGAAGCAATGTTATCTGAGCAGATACACCTCTAAGCATCGTTGGGACCAATAAAAGTATCTGCACAAGAAGTGAAAAGTGTAGCATGAGTAAAATCGACCCAATGTACTCTATAAGTGTCGAGCCTAACCTCGACAAGGTACTGACAAGGCTATGACAAGACACCTACGTAAAAACCATGTACAAATATATAAAGCAGCAAAATAACAAGTAGAACGATAAAATATTAACTGGGAGGGGACATGCGAAAGGGAAAATATCATAAAAATGGCAAGTACGAAATCACAAAATAACATCTTCCGAAATAGGCAACAATATAACCAAGTAAATCACCAAAATCGGAAATCAAATAAGGCAATGAAATGAAGATGGTATGAAATCACCCTTCGTGTTTTTACTCTCGTCCTCACCATGTAATATCATAAATGAAATGGCACGGCATCACCCTTCGTGCTTTTACTCACTGGCACGGCATTACCCCTCTTGATTTTACTCTCAACATCTCTTAATATATGATAATGAATGCAAATAAGGCACGACAACACCCTTCATGCTTTTCACTCTTCCTCACCAAATCAACAATACAAATTAAAATAATAAATACAAGGCGGGAAACAATTTCACTTCAATTATAGTGCCAGGATATCAAACTCAACTTTCAAAAATTCCCAACATATTCAAAATAAACAATACATATGAGACAAATAATCTAACCTAAGCATGGAAAAACAAAGTCAAATAAACAACTTAGAACAAAGAAATAATTCCCACCCGCATGCTTTAACCCAATAACAATGCATATGTACTCATCACCTCACATATATGTCATTCCCACACATAATTCACGTAGCAAATAAACCAACAAGTCTT